ATTAGTATCATAATTTTATACAATTTGATCACAATTATTGAATTAATTGGCCACAAATTATATATCGATTATATATCAAAAATTTTATAGGTCACAAATTATTTATGGGTCATAAATCAAAAATTTATATGTCACAAATTATTTCGATCACGGATAAAAAGTTTTGAAAGTCACAATTTACTCATCGGTCATAAAATCACAAATTTTAAGTGATAATTTATTTAACGGACACAAATTATCAAATTAATTGGTCACAAGTAATTTCTCGATCACAACTTAATAAATTGTGAGCCACAATCACATTTTTTAGGTCACATTATTCATTGTTCACAAATTAACCAATTTATGAATCACAATCAACTAAATAATTGGTCACAAACACCCTATTCCCATTTCCGCCACTACCACGACAATTCAGATCACCAACTCATCAGACCGAGTCAAACAATCACCACAACACCTACAACACCATCAACCCAATCCAACCCAACCACCAATATCACCATCAACACCAAAACGACCACCAGATTTCTCCACTACGGCGAATAAGACGCTTCTACACAGCGGCTCCGGCTAAGCAAATCAGGTCGGAGGAGAATGAAATCACCCCAAAAAAACCCAAAACTCCCTCCCCAAATTTTCTTTATTGTCGGTGACCAAAAAACCCCAAACCCCTTCCCAAAATTTTTGTAGTAGCGATGGGTGCACCGCCTGGCAACGTTGCTACGTACTCGCAGCAGTCTCGGAGCTGTCATTCGACGTCGCTGGAGCTACATAGCGTGCAAAATCGCTCACACAACGCCACTGCTGCAACGACGTCATCGTGTAGCGGACAACTAGCGTCACACACAGATGCCGCTCGATGACTCTTCCAGTGGCACCTTCTCATCTGCCGACAGGATTATTAAATGATGGAGATGTAATTTCCACAATTTTTTAATTAAAACCTAAAATTTAGTAGAAACACGACTATTTCACCGCTCAGCGCTTAATTCGGCCAGTCCACTGGTTCTTTGACTTATATTTCTATATCCAGTTAAGTTCGAACTTGATTACGCTTTCGAAAAAAATAAAACCATGGACAAATTTATTCGAAATTATTGAATAGGACCAGACTGGTTTGAATCTTAAGGATTTCTAACTAAATTGAACTCAACCCCCACCGATCTTGAGCATACCCGTGAATTCGAGATTGGATCAAATTTAATTTATAAAACTTGAAAAGAACTAAATCAAAACAATTATTTTTTGAAAGAACCGAAAAAGAAATGGTATCGTAACAATTTCAATATAGTTTTTTTTTTAAAAAAAATGTGTATGAATTGAACCGTGTTCATGTCCACTTGTGAAAAAATCGACTAGTTGATTGTTTTGCAAAACATCAGTGTTGTTGTTTAGTAATAATGAGAATAGTTTTATTCAATAATAATGGGAGAGAATTGAAATGGTGAAAGCCTACTAGAATAGGTAATCATCCTAATGACCTTCTAATCAATGCCTAAATCCATTGTTAACTAAACTAATAAATATCAAATTAGAAAGAACCTTTGCTGAACACAATAAACTATATTAGAAGAAGTCATATGCCTATACTTAGGATTAGTTACGAATCCACCGCCAACATATTATAGCAACACAATTATTTCATTATTTGTTGTATCTAATCATTTGATCATGTTAGGATGTTTGACTATAAAGATTCCTTTTTTAAGTGGGGTACCTACTCCTTCACTTGCACGCTCCTCATGTACTCGGATTATTTGTTTATTTTACATCACATAAATATCAATATATATACACATCAACAATGTTGAATGTACAGAAATTTTGTGCCAGAAATTGTACAGAATAGTCACATGAATGTGGTCCTACCCGATTGAAATATAATTTTAAAAAGTGAACCCCAAATATTTGTGTCTTCCCTGTTTTTTTTTTTTTAGTTTTTGTATGGCAAGGAAAGTTCTATATATATATATATATATACACACACATATATGGAGTGCTCGGATTGATTGAGTATGGGAATAGAATCTCAAGCCCTCTGAAAACATCGTAACACGTGGCTGAATCACCACGAGTTCATTGATACCTTCTTTTTATAGAATGAGTTGATGTTGAAGTCGTCAATCCCTTATAAATATTTTATTCACTTGTTCCTAGGGGCGGACCTATGGGTGGCTTGAGGGGTCACGTGACCCCCCAACTCTGCTCTTTTTTTTTCCCCATTAAATTTTCTATGTTTTTGTTTCAATTTTCGAATTCATTATGAGATGTGAAACGAAATCGAAATATTGCATTCTTAATATCATTTTGAAGAGCTCACGGTCTAGTTTTGTACTTTGTTAATGGCGTACGAAATGATCAATCCTAGCAAATGTTATGACTTGTCAAAGTGGACCTTTTAAAATTAGTATTTCAAAAATTTCGATAACATACTAACTTTAAAAATTCTCCAACGTTCTACAAATTACTTATTTCATTTCAAAACTTATTTTGAGAACTACATTTTAGGCATATCGAATAGTCCAAACAAATATTGAAATAATTAAAGATACGTTAAATGTGAGTCTTAAAGAAATGCGTCTAACTCGCATTTTCTTTAAAAAAAATCAATTATTTCATTAACATTTATTATTTTTGTGATACAAAATTTTCAATATAATTTTCATCATTTTATTAGGAAATTTTAAACTGAATATGACATCAAAAATTTTCGAATTTTTCCATCTGAAAAAGTCATATCTCATGTAAATTTTAGGATGCAAAATTACATGGGGTATTATTTTTTTGGACGTAAATTTTCGATTGTAAAATTTCTCTCAAATTCTTTGCAAGTTCGATTGTACCCCCTAAGTTTAAACTTTTGTGTCCGCCCCTGCTTACTCCATGTTAAGTCGATGTGAAATTTTATTTATATGGCTAAGCATAGTTTTATTTTTAAGGTGAAATGTGTGACATCAACTTATAGGTTTCTTTAGTTTCGTTTTAATGTTTAGTGCCAAATCATTCCACCTAAACACTTATTTTGCTGTCAACTCCCTGATACAGCTATTGGAATCAGATTTTCCAAGTCTTAGTACCTTCGATAAAAGCTATAGTCTCTTGTTTTCTCATTGAGCTAGACAATAAGTATTCATCTAACTATTTAGGTTCATGATATTTCGTTCTGATTTGAGGACGAGAGGACTCCATCGACACTTGGTCTAAGGGGATCAGACAACCACAAGATGGAAAAATGATTTTTTTGAAAGATTGATATATGTTTAAATGAATATTGACAAAATTTAAACATAGCATTATTTCTGGAACCAACCATCTACTTTAATTCCTGAATACCTTTACTAGGGAAAGTCCTTTGGTTAATCTTGATCACTGTGGTCCTGTAATTAAATATCATTCAAGAGGTAAATAGTCACCAAAATATGTGGGCAATTATATTGTGGTAGCTCTTTTAATAATTACTCCAAGAAAATTTTGTATGCGTTCACGGGTGATTGAACAATATCAAAAAAGATATACCAATAAGATTTTAGTAAGTTGTGATGTCAAATTATCAATACGACATACAAACAAATTCAAGTGTTAAGGGTAAATATTTCAAGTAGCACAGATCCTTATATATGTCATTACTTCGTATATTTATTTCATATTCAGGGTGAAGTATTTGTCTTTAACACGAAGGTGCTTGAAAATATTGATATCTACATACTTATAAAAAATTTAATTTCTCAATATAATCTTTTTTACATATTTCCAAAATGTAAGATATAATTTTGGTCCCAAAATTTGGTGGGGGTGAGCCCATTATTGTGTTGACCTAACACTATAACTAAACAATAAGAAATATTAATTCTAGGGGAGATGCTTCTATAAATTTTATTTATTCCTTTTCAAACAACTTGAATTTGAAATTAAAGACCTATATATTCAGAAAGTGTATGTCTTTTACATTATATGAAAAAATATTTCGAACAATAATTCATTTTTCAAAGTTCTCTTTCAATTCTTGTTGATCTAAGCATAAATAAATTGATAAAGCTTAAACATATTTAGTAGGCTCCACAAAGCATTTGGGGCATATTTGATGTCGATTTTACAGAATAAGTTTTGTGAAAAGTGATTTTAGTAGAACGTGTAGTTAAAAAGTAAGAAAATATTATGAGTCAATGTGTCAAATTATTTTATCAAAAGAATGCGTATTCAAAAATAAATTGAAGGAAATGAGTGTTAAATAATATGTACCAAACATGGCTTAACAATTGTGCAATTGAGTGTGAGTGAAAAAAGTAATCTCCAACAAACACAAACCCAGAGGAAGACTCTCAAACAAAGACCACTTTTGTTTGACTCCTTGGGATTTGTAACACAAATTTGATTCTTTGAAGCCGATTTGCTCAAAGCATAAAATTCCAAGAAAGCAAAAGATTTTAACTATTCCCATGGAAGATGAAGAAGTTATGCCTTTCCCTTTACCATACTTTACTTGAGTTATTCACAGAATTTGTACAGGATGCTGCTGGCACAGGAGCAGCATCCCGTGCATTTGTGTGCTTGTATTTTTTTCCATCTTTAAATCTGTGTTATCCATTTCAAATTTCTGTATCAATTCTGTAGAAATTTTTTGTATTGGTAGACTGATTCACTCTACTTCTCATTTTTATCAAATTCCAATCTTTTTTTTTTTTCTTGTGTTTTTATTTTAAAATGTCACTATCTTAGTTACCTGGATCAACAGCATCACTTCCTTTTCAGTGTTTGTCTCTCTCCACTCCTGCTATTTTCACAAAATCCCACAGATTAACATCAAATTCCAAAGTCCAAAAGTGACATATTTGATATAAAATAATATTTTAGATTGTATCGTACAGTATTTATTGTATTGAATGGTATAACAGATAACATTTGAACTTCCTTTTTTTCATACAACACCGTCAATGGTACCCAAACATGCCATAAGCAGAAAAATTAAAACATAAATCACTATCAAAAGAGGGAAAAATTCATAGTTTTGGAATCAAGCCACTAGCAATAGCATGATTTGTATCAAAATGAGTAGTTTCATAGACTGGAAGTTCTTGAGAAAATTTCTTCTTGTTTCCAAACAATGCCAAGTGATCAAGCTCGAATAACTCCGAACTTGAATCACTTGCCGCATCATCGTTGTCTTCATCTTCGTAATCTTCAATTTTATGGCGAATATTCTTGAACAGCGCAAAATCGTCCTTCCTTTGATTGGGATAGACCTTCGAATAATCTCGAGTTGAATCTTGAATTCTTCTGTTTTTCTCTCCTGGACTAAATCTCAAGTCTGGAGGCAATGGTGGCCTTCCAAATTTATCAGAACCTTCATTTTTTTTCACAGTTTTGTGGCTGCTAGGGAGAAAATTAGAATCTTCATCAACAATGACATTATCTGGATGAAATCTGACCGTCCTTCTGTTGCCAATTCCTACATTCTCCACTGATTTAGAGGGATTTTTGATCAAACATGATCTTGAAAATGATGATGTTGATGAACAGGTTGATGAACCCGGTTGCGATTTTGATTTTCTCTCCATGTTTGAATCTTCAAAACCTCCATTTGGATTAGATTTCTTTGTTTTCTTCGAATTCGCGAAAAGGGAGTTGATAAAATTTGTGAGGCGGGCTCCAGGGGAAATAGGCTGTTTCATCTTGTTCAAATTGGCATAAATCTTCAAGGCCCTGGATTTCGATTTGATCACATTGTCATCCACTTTATTTTCCTGCTTATTTTGGTACATAAACACCTTATTTCGGTCGTGAAATAAGTGGTTTTCGCCCCTCCCACTTGTTCTTACCGGCTTGAGCTTTGGTGCAGAAAAACAAGAAATTCTTGACTTTATTGAATTTGAACCCCAAAATAACTCTGAATCAGACGAAGAAAGTGCTCCAGAACTGTCTGAAGAATTCGAATTTGAACTGAAAAACACCAACTCATTTTCTTGTAGCCAAAGTTTTTCCAATTCTGCCCTTCTTCGAGCAATAATTTTCTCATTAATTTCCTTCTCCCTCCACAGAATTCCTATTTCTTCATCTTCTTTGCTGCTAGTTTTTGGCCATCCACCGCCATGCTGTTTTGTGGGCATCTCTTTGTATACCTTAAAATCCTCACCTTTTTCGTCATTTCCATCGATGGAATTCATAATTTCGTCAAGAAGGGTAGACGAAAATGATGGCTTTCTGGGATTTTTTCTTGGTTTATCTTCTCTCAATGGTTTTTCCCAGCTATACATTTCAGCTAAGAATTGGTGTACCAACTGTTTGACGAAAACTTACAGAGATTAAACGAAGTATGAACCAAACAGAAGAAAATTATGAACTTTTCTTGTTATAGAGAGAGAGGATTCAGGAAAAAGGATCTGGAGAGAGAGACTTATAAAGAGCTTGTCATAAGAGTGAGTGCATCGTGGTCTAAATTTAAGGCAATGCCATGTTTGGCAATTGGCGTATTTGATTTTCCAAAAGTATATAGCAAATTGCCAAATTTAGTGATATATATACACATTCCTTTAGTTTCGATTTGAAGCCATGTATTTGAAATAGTATTCTAAAAAGCGTAATACGTGACGATGCTTGAAGGTCAAGTAGCCTAGCCGATACCTAAACATTAAAAAGCGTAAAAAAATATTTTCTTATTTTAATATTATTTTAAATTTTTAATCAATCTACAAATCGTTTAATAACTAAAATAATACATACCAAACATCTGAATTAGATTTATGGGAATTCTATATATATTTTCAAAATTTTCAATAAAAAGATAAGTTTCAAAATCATAATTACATAACGTAGATATCATAAGAATTTAAATCTTATTTAACTTTTTATTGGACTACAATTACATATCATCTTCTTCATCTAATCTGTCATCTGTGTCATTTGATATAAAATCAAACTTTTAAGATTTGTGGTGTGGGTGTTTGGTGTGGGTATTTAGCGCCCAAGCCACAGGCGTGGTGTTTTCGCCACGCCTCGTGCATTGTCAAGGCCTAGGCACCGTCAATGCGCACCATTTTGAATACTGATTTCAAATTATACATTTCCAAAAAGTGTGAAAATTTTTTTAGAATTTATAGTTAAAAAGTAGAGAAAATCACTATTCATATGTAAAATTATTTCATCAAAAATTATGTTGTTAAAAATGAAATTGATAAAAAAAATAATAATAATAATTTTAAAGAACATCTACCTACAGGGACAAAAGCATTATGTAATACTCATCTAATCATTATCATAAAATTCTAGATGACTCAAGTAAAAGCATCTATAATAGTGTGTAAAATATATCTAAATTGTAATTTTCATGTTTGAAGTGGCCGAAAATTTCTCCAATGGATAGATGTAAAGGAAATGCAAATTGAATTTTTCAACAGAAAATATATATATATATATATAAAAATGTAAATTTACATTTTCTTTTACATCCACATAAGGCAAAAAAAGTGAATTTAGATATTGAAAGCCCGTTTGGTACACATTAAAACGAAAGAATGTATTTTTTTGAAATGATGTGATGGAGAATATGTGGTTGAAAAAGAAGGAAAAGTTATTGATGTGATGGAAAATATTATTTTATTGAAGAACGTGTGGTTGAAAATGAGTATAAGAATGAGAAAGAAAAAAAATTAAAATGAAAGAAAGCATTTTTTTGAAATGATGTGATGGAGAATTTGTGGTTGAAAAAAAAGGAAAATTTATTGATGTGATGGAAAATATTATTTTGTTGAAGAATGTGTGGTTGAAAATGAGTAGAAGAATGAGAATGAAAAAATAATGTGACCCAAACAGGGGCTGAAGCAAAATTCGAATTTAGATCCACCGGAATATAAATAAAGATGCAAAAGTGTTTTTGTAGATATCAATCCACACACAATTTTACATCATCGTTCGAGATATTCTTACACACTGAAATTATTGGATAGCGTACGTTAAATCATAAAAAATGAGCTAGCAATTTAAAAAATAAAAATAAATAAATAAGAGAATCTCTTATGAAAATTAAACAGAATCGTTTTCAATAATGAAATAATATTATAAAGTGCATTCAATTTACTGGGAGGCAATTACATGATCAGTGCTGATTATTCTAATAATTAACTAACATAATATCTTTTTGGAAAAAAAAAAAGCTGACAACTTTGGTATGTAATGTGAACAGATGAATTGAATTTAGTTGCATATTGTACCTAGCTGAATTTTTTTATCATCGAGGGTTGTTAGAATAGAATATTTTGATTCAATAATTAAGATGGGCTGCAAGAGGATTAAATAATTTATTCTAAATAAATTTCATATTTATTTATTAATTTCCATATTTTTTAAACATCGTTACATTAAAAAATACCCTATGTTTATATAATATTTCGTAAAAACCCATACCCATATTAGGATGGTACGTTGATATTTTAGAATTTTTATCTTCGTTATTATTATGTACGGTCTATCGTAAAAATAGTTACATAAGAGAGTGTTTGAGAAAGGAATGAACCAAGAAATAATACATTTTCACGACATATTTCTTTAAAACAACAAGTATTCAAAGTCGAGATAATTATTTTTGGACAATTATACCTAAAATTATTTATCACGTGTCTATTACGAGACTTTTTACTTTCTGTTTATACATTTTTAGTTGATTTGGAACGCTCTGCACACAGTGTTTACAGGTTTGGAACATTGATGACAAAAACTAAAGATTGAGGATACCAGAGAATTTACTTTTTTTTTTTTCGTTTTTCAATTATTAATATACTTTTTTTTTTTTGGTATTAAAAAATAAATGCAAGTAGTATCATATTATTTTATATGATTTAGCAAATAAAAAGTAGGAAGAATCTTTTATCTAATAGGTATGAAAGAGCAAAGGCATTATAGTAATTTGTAAGTTGTAAATTTAGATAATCAAATTATTAACACACATCGAATTATTTCATACATCGATTGTAAAATTTCTCTTAACTTCTTTGCACATTCGATTGTGTCCCTCTTAACTTTAATGGCATGTGTCCACCCCTGCATGTACCTACTTAATTAATCTTCACCAAATGGAATAGAATAAAATGTGGCAACTATTGGTTTAAACACAAGGGATGGTTTGCAGTTTACAAAAAAAATTGTATTCTGTTGTACAAAGAGTCGAATGACAAATACACGAAGGAAAATAAGGAAGAAGTTCAAATCTACTTCTGTAATTTTTACTTTAGCTCAAATTTTGAAATTATTGAAAGCAAATTTCACAGGTATGAGATTTGGAAGCACAGTCATTTTGACAAGTCTTCTTTAAAGTACCATCCAACTCGTTTGGATTGTATTTCATAGATCTTCAATATTCATAAGATTTATGATTGAATCATGTTTGGTGTACAATTATGAATGACAACTTTGTTTATAAAATGTCACATGACATTATGTCATTGGGCAATTTTAACAAAAAGTTGTTTTTTAGCCAATCAATCATGCTACAATATCAGAATCATTGATACAAAGGTTGACATAATATCGCGTGGCGATCTATCATTGGACTGTTTAAAAAAACAGTCATCTTTTCAATCAAATCATTTTTCGCCAAATAGGATTTTGTTAGCCCTTATGTCATAATTCATCTGGCAAAGTGGTTTAATCCTTTAGCCAATAGTTATTCGCCAACACACCAATTGTCCATAAAGTTGTCATCCTGATTGTACAAATAGCATTATTGAAAACACTTAGCAAAACAAGAAAAATTTAACTACAATATGTTGATTTTTTTAAAAATGTATTTTAGTTTTTTGTTTGTGGTGAGACTATTATGAATTTCACTATGAATATAAATCAAAATAAATAAATAAATCAACATATTGTACTTAAATTTTTATTGTTTTGCAAAGTGTTTGTGTATATATCTAAAGTGTTTTAGTACATAGGGCTGGACATTGTCCGATTCGAGTAGGTTTTAAGAAGAATCGAATTGAAATCGAATTTTCGAATATTTGGCAAATGGAACCGTCAGTCCAAATTTAATTATGGAATCCGGTTCCGTTCGGTTCGGTTCCATTTGGTTCTTGGGTTCCATTTAATAATTAATGTTTTGCAAAGTGTTTGTGTATATATCTAAAGTGCTTTAGTACATATGGCTGGATATTGTCCGATTCGATTATGTTTTAAGGAGAATTGAATTGAACCCGAATTTTTGGGTATTTAGCAAATAAAACCGTTGGTCCAAATTTAATTATGGAATTCGATTTCTTTCGGTTCGGATCTTAGGTTCCATATAATAATTAATTCTTTTTTTATATATTCGCAACAACGCTACTTTAATTTAACTAATTAACTCTTAAAAAATAATATAGTTCAATTCTGTGATATTTTTTGCGCCTCTCTTTGTTGAATTCTCCATGGATTTGGCAATTAAAATCACAGGAAGAGGAAGATGACGGGCTCACAATAATAAAGAGAGACTTCCAATCGATTTCTCCAAAAAGAAACAATACTTCGGTAGAATAAGAGATTTGGTAATATTTTGGTCAATTTGATTAATTGGACTTGGGCTAGAAATTAGATATAGAAAAAAAAAAAAAAAATCATATTTTGGGTTTGGACTAAATTAATTAGTTAGCAAATTTATTTTTTAAAAAAATAAAATAATTTAGCTTTTTAAGATTAAAAAAATTATGGATATTCGATTTTTCGATTCTTGGTCGAGAACCAAGAACTGAATCGAACCCGTCAATTATCGATTCAAATACTCGTTCAGATATTTAACTTAAGAAGAACTGCTCGGTTTGATTCATGTCTGATTCGGTTTGAGAGTTTTGTCCAGCCCTATTAGTACATATACATGTCTGAAGTGCTTTGACGAGTCATAGCATCTTTGTACGAAATCCACTTATCCTCTAAAGACATATTGCAGGTTCTGATTCGATTCTAAAAATAAAAAAGTTAGAAATCGAAACGGAGAATTGACCAAGTCTCATACGGTTCTTGGTTCTTGAATTGGAACCATAGATACCCAACTCTAAAACTGAATTTATCAAGTAGATTATTAGTCATGTATGTATTTTTATTGAGGCGAGACGTGTATATACTGTTTTGTGATAGATTCCATCTATTAATACCTCCATTTGACAAATTTATAAATGATTTTATAAAGAAAAATAATAATAGTTATTTTGTTTCATATTAGTCACCCAACTATAAATTTTATCTCGTGTTGACAATCATGTTATTCTCCTTGTAGCTTAGAAACCATCTACCCAGATTATCATCAATTCAAGAAGTTTTCAAAGAGTCCTCACTTAAAAGTCCAACTAGCAAAATGTATGACAATTTGACTTCGAGACATTAAATTGACATTACATGAAGACTATTATAGTGATCGATGTGAAACAAAACTTAAAATTAAATAACTAAGTTGGAACGAATTAAAGGTTAGTGTTCAACCTGAAACAAACTTCAATTGAATTTAATCGAACATGTCAATTGAGGGTCTTACCTGACTTGCTTTCTTAAAAGAATGTATCTATAAACCTCCATACAACAATTTCAAAGGAATTGTGTGATCTTTGAATATCATAAAAAACCACAAATTTTCTATTTTTTCTAGTACAAGATGACTCAATCATCCACTTTATAAGTTGAACCATAGCAATTGTAGAGTTCCATCATCATTAATTAGAAAGGACACCAACTGCTATATCTTAAATTAATTAATCCAACATCTACACAAATGCCACTTAAGAAGCATGCTTTGCCAGGTATTTGTCTCTACTATCCTTGTCAAGATCACATGTTTCCCCTTTTGTACTTGTTTATATTATAACACATCTAGGCACAAGACGTGATTAATGTTGATACATCACTTAGCACCTCAATGGGGTCTTTAATTATGAGAATGTGATACATGAATTAGCCAAGAAAATGAGGTACACAACTAACTCTGCATCATGTTATACTATGAGTGAAGGATAGTATATGTATTCATTGATATACTTTGTTTAATGTGACATATGAAAAATTGTCGACTCGATGTGACAAAGTGAACCATCACCGACATTTTGTGAATATGGATGGACTTGGTTGATGAAAATATGGATTGTTATCAACATTCTTATATATGATTTGGGCTTTAGAATCGACACAAAAAATGGTACGCCCGCTTTTTTATGGGTTCAATCGACAGCTATCAAATGACAAGTTCTTGTAGACTTTATAGTTTATTTACACTCGAGCAAGAAGAGTCACAACCAAAGTCAACAATTTGTTGAGGTGGACTGTATTTCATGTGGCACTATTGTGAAACTACCAATTACTTAGCATGGCAAGGAGACCAATCATTGACATCGAAAGACTTGGACTAATCCAAGTTAAGGCGCGATGAGCTCTAACTTAGAACTATTGGCTTAAATCAAGTTGAAATGGTAAGCTTTATGTCCTGGACACAAATTTTTACCAAGCAATGCTAATTTGAAAAGCCTCGGCTTGAGCCAACAAAAGTTCGCGCACAAGAAGCCAAACCTCATTCCAAGCATTACACTGAAAACGCTCGACAACTTGAGGTTTGAAAGAAAAACTTGGAAAAAATCGTACACCGAAGCCATCCCAACATGAGATGCTCACCTCAATAGAAACGTGCATGAAGTCTAACCCACATAAAGTTCGTTAACACTCGAACAAGACATGTTGTTCGGACATCTTGTGACATGAAAATCTTCCTTTCTTGGAGGGGTAATGTTCTCGTGAATCCTAAAACCTTCAATTACCATGGAAAAGGGTCCAATAATTATTTTATATATACTGGAAGGTTTTCTATTATTGGAAAACGCCAACAAGAGCAATTACGACAACATCATACATAGCAACAAACATTAGCCATTGTGGTGTATATTAAAATTACATTTTTAGTATATTGTAATAAAAATTGATGAAATGTTGTGTAGTTGAAAAGTTGTAAATTCAATAAAATATACAGTAAAATTAATTATTGACTTTAATTTGAAGTTTTACTGATTTTAATCTACGCCAAACAAAAACTACTTAATATATGAACCACTGTTCTCTTATATTCTCTCTTTGATTCCTTTTCTGTAAAACAAATAGAACCGAACTTTGGGAACTAAAATTATATAAAGAACCAGGTTTTGTTTGTCAGAGATATAGATAGTGGATTAGGTTTTGTTGTGTATTCTTTTGGGTTATAACTTTATATCATTTTTCAATTTAACAAAGTTTTCAAGAATTCATAATAATAATAAAAATAAAACAAAAACATACTATTTTTTAATTTTTAATTAGGGATACGTTAGCATGCTTAGCCATTTAAATTTGTAAATATTTCTAATTTTTCCAGCAAAATATGTTACCAATAAGTTAAATATAGTATACAAAATATGTTATGCAAATTGTTAAATATATATCTATTCAGTATTATGTATTAAATGTTTTGTGCACCTACAATTATTGGACTTGTCCACGAGGCATGTCCAGTCGGACAAAGTGTATGGATCCCCATAACGCGTGGCACACAGGGCCCCTGTGCACGTGGAACACTGTCCTTTCCCGCACAGTAAGGACAGTTGAGCACGTGGACATGTCACTTGACACACGAGAATCAATGTTGACGTTAGAACTTCAAATCGGAGAATACGTGTACTGAATCAATATCATGTACAGGGAATATATTGCTTAGTTGGGGTGCCTCCATGTCAATAGACTACCACAAATTTGGGGTTTTTTTTTTTTTTTTTGGGTTTCATATTTAAAACCTATAAGAAGAAGTTATAATTGTAGAATGATACTTAAAAAGATTTAAAATGTGGTTGGCTATCTTTTCATCGAGAATGTGGTGGCGATTGATTGGGCTTCGAGATGGCCTCCCCTGCTCTCAGTAGCTTAGCTTTCAGTTTGACACTACAAAATGTTAATAAATACTCGGAGCCACGACACATTTACCAGTCCATAGGTTTTCCCTATGACTTCCTCTCTCATTATCTTTCATAAGTCAAGTAGGCACTCCACAACCTGTCGCCTTAGTAGTGGTCCATTAGTAGTGTCATTTGCTCCTCTAGTTCAAGTCAATTAATCGAGATATTACTAATAGATCGAAGTAAACACTCCCCAACCGATCAAAGTGTATTCCTTGTTTTATTTTGTCAAAGCTTCGATGGTGACGTCAATTAATCAAGGTATTACTATTATGCTTAAAAAGAAAATAAAAAATCTTGGATGAGATGGAGGTATAGGGTAGGGTAGGGTAGGATAGCGTAGCGCAGGGCACGGTAGGGTGGAGATTTTGAACCTTCAGCCATTGTCTATCTCATTAAAACATAACTTTTTATTTTTCATACTCATTTTAAACAACACATTCAAACAATAAAATATTATATACGTAAACTCAAAAAATTTCCTACTTTTAAACCACACAATTTCAAATCATCATTTTGTCTCAATTTCTTTATAATGAATCAATCAGAGCTCAATAATTTTTCATCCTTCACAAGGAGAGCATGTGGACAAAGGCCACGATTTAATCATATTCTCGAATCTCATTCTGACAGCAAATTCGTCTGTTGCTTGGGACTTTGTGCATTGTCCTTCGTACCATCTGCTCCTAGGTACATGCATATATACATATACTTGCTTGTACGTATATGTGCGGGTAAATGTATGAGCCCCCGTTTGCATCCATTCTCTTTCCCATTCTCTTTCTCATGTTTTTCCTCCTTCTTCATTTCAATAACACATTAATCAATAAAATAATATTACACATAAATCCAAAAAATTTTCTTACTTTTCAACCACACATTCTTTCCATCAATCACTATTTCAAAATTTATTCTTCATCAAAATGGATCTCAAACACACCCTAAATGTTAAAATGCCTCCTTTTATCAGCGGGGACACCGACCTTTAATTCTTGGGGTATCCCTTAAAAGCTTCCAAAAATCTTAATGAAATGGTTTGGTGGTCTATTAACATGAAAACCATTCACCCGTAAAAACGACTATTGGCAAGCATATAAAACTTTATTTAAAATCCCCCGTTGAAAGAGATTGAGCTCTATTTGGTAGTGACTTAAATTAAAATTAAAATCGAAGTCAACAACATATTTCCTGGATCTCACAATTTTTCAATCACACATTTCATCAATTTTTATCAAAATTTATTAAAAAAATAATTTTAATCTCCACCAAACAGGGACTAAATAGTATAGGAGATTGGTCATCCGTCACTAAAGGAGAATAGAACACCATCAGACATAAATAAGGTCTATGGTAGAATATCAAGACATCCACGACTAAAATGTTACAGTTTGATGCATAACATCTAATCGAATTCTCCAAGATCTCTTCGATTCGTTCATTGAGCATTCAATCTCTGAACATCTACCAACTGGTAAAGATCGCCTCGTCTTTGCTTCTCTAGTGGGAGATTTGTTCTGAGCATACAAAATTATTTTGAGAGTAAGATAAAAATTGTGAGAAAACAACAGAGAGAGATTGCAATTGTGTACTATTTGCACGTATATAAACATATGGTTCTTTAAGGTGATTCACCTCCTGAGCTCAATTTGTGAATAGTCAATATCTGATATGATAATTGCCTCATCGTGTTCAGTGGTGGAGAGTACTTCTCCAAACTGCCAGACAAAAACGCCCGTAAGAATAAAGTAGCTCACAATCTTACTGCTTTTGCATTTTTCTTCAAGGACTGTTCATCGGACGGGGCTGTGTACCCATCTTTATTTCATCACATGTTCGTGAACATATCAATTTATAATAGTGCTATCATTACCACAAAAAAAAAGCCCATATATAGCCAATCATTAAATACTCCAGATAACTGGTTTTGCCGTTCAATTATGCATGCATCTATTATATTTCTGAATTCTGCTCAAGTATTTTGTTACGTTTATCTTCTTATGCTCTAGATCTCTAGCAGATCTAACAATGAATAGATCAGAATGTCATAGAATAATTCAGGAAGCTGACCCAAAATTTACAGGGAATAAGGCCTTTTAGTTATTGTATCTTCCTATCTTTAATGCCCCCAACCCCCTTTGCCTCTCCTTTTTGTTCTTTAATGGTCTGTTTGGTAGGGTGAATATAATACTGGAAATTAGAGAAGGAAGAAAGAAAAAAGATAAAAAATGTAATATGTATTGTTCAATCAGTTTAATACTGCACCAAATATGCTATAAATGAATTAACTTACAGGTCCAACAAGTGTAGAATGACCCCAAGCCACATATCCAGCACCAACATCTCGAGCAGGTGAACAAGTTGCTACATATAACTGTCAAATCAATTGTAAAGATGAAACAATTCAAAATTATTCAACTCAAAACTGATGGTACCATTTAAAAAGTTCAGTCTAATTAAATTTCTTTTTACAAGAATAGATTTCACACAGACGAGCATAACATTGTAAAAAAGGACCCCGAGAATTTTTTTTGTTTTATTCCACAGCCCCCACCCCCACTCAACACCCACACACGTCGTGGGGTCTCATCATTTTGGTACCAGGCACTTTTCGGTTTCTACACCAGATTTTTCCTCAACAAAGAGCATCAGAAACATCATAATACTGATACAATAAAAACTTAGACGTTGACGAACAGAATACCTCGATTTGATCACAAAAAATACAGGGAGTTATGGGAATGTTTTAACTAACTGACTAGGAACTAAGTTGATAAATTGAAGAGTAAAATGTTGTCCTCAGCTTCCTCTTAACAATTTATAGAGTCAAAAATATTTGGAAGTTCCAATCACTTGATTTCTGAGCACAAAAGACGCACAGTTACACAAGGACGCAAATTTAGGTTTTTATGGGTCTAACCATTTGAAAGTTGAAATTACATTATTCAAGACACACCAACCACAAAAAAAAAATTAAGACAAACGGATTCATTATTTTTCCATCCAAGAAATCAGTTGGACAAAGATTTTCTCGAGTAATCAACTGACAGCAACAGATGAAAAGCAAATTTAGACATCAATCAATAAGAAGGGAGATGAATTAATAGGTGTTTTTAGAGATACCTGATTGTCCACAGCCCTGCATACAAGAGTGAAGAGCATCAGATGATAAAATGAGAAACAGAAAATGATGACAAAATTACATCAAGTGATGCTGCAGGCTATATGTACACATTCTATCACTTCTCTCCAAAAAAGCAACTCAACCAAACTGGATCACAATGGCCATGGGCACTAGGTCTGAGCTCGATAGGGTCACTATAAGGGCAGATGAGAAACTTTTTAGGACACCCCATTTCATACAAGTTAATAGACTGAATTCAAGCTTTCATTTTGATTGGTGGGTTAGAGGGTTTGGGTTCTGTCTAATTATCAAATAGGAAATTTATGTGTCAAGTGTATAGGACACAATAAGCTGAGACAACAAAGTCTAACATCTTCAGTTGGCCCAAACCCAACATAATTCATTTTCAGACAACCCAACTTATCATCAGAGCAACCTTCATCCAATAAACACTCAACACAGCCAATAAGATCTCCTTTGATCAGGTGTATCCGTACATTCTAGAAAAAGAAAAGGACTCTAGAAACCAGAAAGCAGTAAACATATATTTGTGCTTAGCCTATGTTTGGCTCATGTTTATAAAAAAAGTCACTTTTTATCCACACGTTTTGGATGACTCACAAGTAGTACCCACGTATCCACCACTCATCTCTATTTATTTATAATCCAAACCATTTATAAACACTTCCCCAAACACACTTTTAGTCTCATACATATATGAGAATATTCTTACACTGAAGCACATGTATGTGCCCAAGGGTCAGGGAAAAAGCCAAGAAGTTTAGGGAGTCCCAAACACAAGCATACGAGAAGTTTTATAATTATCTTTCGACAAAGGATGGAAACAAAATTACAATATTTAGGTACACATACAAGAATTAATTTCAAATAAGTTAGTGAACTGGAGGCAGATTCTTATTTTATTTGGTGAGGTTAGAAGGACTGAGTTTTCAGTCTAGTTTATAAATTGGACTTCTTAATTATCAAGCGCATTGCTTGGATCTAATAAACCGGTGGTCACCACCCAAGCAAATCTTGTGTTGTCAATATCCAATTTAGTTCACCGTCAGACAATCCGAACTGGAACCTTACCCAACTTATCACTACAGCATCCTCTAATTTTAAGAACTTGACAAAGCTAATAACATCTCTTCTGATCAGGAGAATCCCTGATGTAGAAGATAAGGCAAAGGACTCATCAACCCTGTAGGCAGAATTGTAAGAACGCTACAAAGTATTCACCACTACCGCATTATTACCTTGCCCTTTGCAGTAACTCCCAGTGCAATGGCCCAGTAGTCATGTTGAATGCCCCAGGATAGCAGAGCAAGTGAGCACCTAAAACAAATACATTACCATCACCAAGTAGACAGTAACATTTAATCAACCTCTAGGACAAGAAAATTACAAGCAATCAAGTGCATGGTTTCAATCTTGGATTGGGAGGGGGGTGCGGGGTGTATTGGAGATAGCGATAGAGGGTGTCTGCATTCCAAGAAGTAGTCTATCATGTCTCAGAAATAGAGAGAAACAATTTTAACAGAAACATGAGGAGGATACAATTGGTTGCCATGTAAAGATCAAGCAGTTGCTATAAGCGATTGAGAGGATATCTTTAACTTCTGTGACAAAAAGTTGAATTAATAAACTCTAATATGCAAACAAACCTCTAGCTGCATAGAGCATCGCCAGTTCCTGAAATCTAATGTCATAGCAGATACCTATACCAATCCGGCCAACATCTGCAGACAGACAATTTCAGTGTTAGGGAAAAACGTGATTTACATAACGATGGAGATTTTGTTGGTTAATACATACATAACACAATGATGTACTAGGCACTCCAAGGAAAATACAATGCCAGGTTAAATCAATGTTCTATCTGTAGAATTTCATTGTCCTTTAACTTTTTCTTGATTTCTTTCTAGTGCTTTATCACCTACATCACATTCCTAGAATTTGCCACATCAGTTTTAATTCTTCCTTGTCCGATGTAGCTTCACTAAACAAAATTTATTACTCAGTCCCGTCGAGTCGTTTAAATGTTGTACAGTGGTGAAAGTGTAGCTAATTGGAACTTTTTAATTTTTACATACACAGGTTTCAACATTGTCCAAAGGGGCAAGGGTAGGGTTAAAAAGAAGATTTGTATAGGCCTTGATTTGCAGTTTTCTCTACAACAGGGTGTATAGTGGTCCTTACTGAAGAAAAGAGTATTTGAAGGACCTATACAAGGGATACCTTAAGTTCCATTGCTCGTTTATTTATCATAGATGTTTCAGACCTTTCATGTAGGAGATAATTTTTTTGAAAATGAAGGTACATGGTGTGTATTAAGTAGCCAGACAATTTTAGAAAAGTATAAGTTCATCGTATAGAAGTTCCAGACCTCTTCATCGTGCCTTAATCATCACTTTAGATTTTATTACAGTTTACCATAACTTGTTACATAAATTTATCATATTTCATCAAGATATTGTCTATAAGCAAATTATGTATGGTTCCAAAATTGCTTACTAAATCAGCATCTAAAAGTAACGCAAAAAAAAAAAAAACAGCCAACCCATCTTGTAACTAGACAATAACATAAGAAGCTAATGGGCACTATTTTCTTTTCTCCTAAAGATAATTAAGCATTTATAATCAGTATTCTAGAACAAACACTGTCAGAAATCCCCAACAATTGCCTTAGTGGAAAAATTATTTTTTTTCCCCAGGACTTGATGAAAAGAATATGCAACATGAGTTTTATGTAAGTAATAGAGAGAAAGTATGAAGCAAGAAACAATAGTTTCTGCAGCCCATGATGTAGACCACACATGCATATTAAATTACAAGGAATCATGAAGTTGATAAACAATTAATATATGCCAAAATGCTAATACATTCTTCTGAATAGCATGCCAGTTAAATGAAGGATAATATGAAACTATCATGCTCAGTATTTCTCTCCTTTTTTCTGCAACACAGATTTTATCAATGTGTGAAAATATACATCATGACAGGGTATACTCCTGCTAGTGGTGAATTGCTTTGCTCCACTTTTTGCATAGTGGCATGACTTTGAGTTACTATGTAATGCAACAAATCTGAAATCAGAATCTCTGGCAAGATGTGAAGTTCTAGAAGAAGATATATTTTTCCATTTCAAATTTGTAGAACTAGAAAATGCATTTTTTTAAAAAAAAAAAAATTCCCAATTTTCTTCGTGTCCTTGAAGTTCGAAAAAAGGAGACGCAGAGTGGCAAAACCCATTTTAGGTCATCTACTTTTAGTGCAAGCTCTTTATATGAAGCTGGGTGATAAAGCATTTATGCATGAGATAACATGATTAGAATAAGATGAGCAGAGCCCAGTATCAAAGCACTACAACTGCAATGACTCATTTTTTATAAATAAATTAATCTTTAGTATTACCCCTTTTTTTATTCATATGTATAACACTAGTGTAAGATTTCGTTTACTATCAAGATGATTTTAAAATAAGGAGTTAATGGACCTGAATTGATATTGTTAACATTAAAAATATATTCTTACACATGCTTTAAAAGACATCCCATGTGAATTGCAACCAGACTTAACCTATGAAGAAAATCCGGTAGAAATCTTGGCTTGAGAAATCAAACAACTCCGAAATAAGTCAACTCAATTGGTAAAAGCTTTGTGGAAAAGGGAAGCGGTGGAAGAGGCCACATGGGAACATAAATCGACTATGCACGAAAAATATTGAGAACTTCTTAGGTAAATTCCGAAGATGAAATTTTATAAGGAGGGGAGATTGTAATATCCCCAAATTTTATTTATTATTCGACGAACAATATTGTTTCTAGAATTTCAAACATTTCATGAATGACTAAATTATCATATTTTAGTAATGATGACTAACATATAGTTAAGAATAGTGAATTGAGATAAATAAATAATTTAGGATTTAAATCCAAAGGAATAAATAAAATATGTGAATCACAAAAGAAGTGAAGACAAAGGGATGATCCGTAAACTTGCAAGATTTATAGACTAAGTTAGTGAACACATAGGGATGATCCAGCATCTTTCTAAAGTTGGGCCAATTTTGCTATCTTAACAACTAAGGAAGTGAACATATAGGGATGATCCAGCAGCTTTCTAAAGTTGTGGTCTAGTTTCCCATCTTAAAGACTAAGGAAGTGAGGAAAAATATTATAATCTCAGCTCCAAATCAGCCAATGGGAAGAAGTTATGAAAGGTAGAAAGGGCCTTAAATCTTAAATTTCAGACATTCCAGAAGCTGAAATTAAAAGAAAGAGACCAAAAAGGTTGCTGGAATTAGTTCTTCAAAACTATGAGTGAAATATGTTTCCATTTTACTTATGTGCCTTAAGGTGACCTATAAAATGCTATGTGCTATTTGACATGTTGATGTGAGATAGTTTGATATCTTGCAGTAAACTGGAACAGAGGTAAGGCAAACTTACTTACAATATATCATGTTTTCATATATCGAAATGAGTGAAAATTATGATGCTGTGTGTTTTTAACAATTTTTAAGTACCAACCACATATAAAATAATTGTATGTCATGATCATTCATTAGTACGGAAAATGGTCATTGGTTGTATACAAGGTCAAATGGACAGCAGCAGGAGATGGATAATGAAGGAGCCATTCCATGACCAGGTGTGAACTTGACCTCAAGTGACTGTTGGAGCTGAGAAATCAGCATTAAAGTTCAATTTTCACTAGTGACAGAAGAGAGAAATTATTTAAAGCCTAGCAAAGAGAAGGCAATTAAGTACTGGCCAATATTATGTGATGTTAGTTCCCACTTTATTAATTTGAGCTCAAGTATACAACAATGACTCCGTAAAGGCCAAATGAAAATGAAAATAAGAATTATTCATTTGATTTACAGACTTGCACTATATTTCACTCAAGGGTTGTGGATAAATGCATTCTCCAATTTATCTTCCTTTTCAGATCAACATGACTAGAGGCTATGTGGAGTACTTTGAGGATAGCTGGGTGATGACGTGAGATGGACTGGAATTTCAGCCAGCACCAACGTAAAACCACATAAAATGCAAACCAAGAGGATTGAGTGAAGCAATGACACGAGATTATCCCAGTATCCTCCAAATTACTGATTATTTCAAGCTGGTAAAAAATACAATGTTAAAAAGTAAAACTGTGATAATCACAATTACACTGATCATGGATAAAAAGAAAAATTGAAACGATTAATATGGCTCGTTAAGGGCTAAAAAATTTACATCTCAAGCCATGAAGGCATATTCAGGCATTGGAATGTAAAGAAACAAATTAGTACTTAAGGAGATTAACTCAGTACAAGCTATAACAAGTACCTGTGTCCACTATGGTTGGAGACTCTCCAGCAGTAAGAGTCTTAGATTCCTTAAATGTAATCTTCCCAGGAATGTCAATATCAAAAAGGTGTATCTGTCACAACAACACACGCATATTGGAACATGTTGTGAAGGAAGTATAGATCTTAGTTCCTTTTCCCTTTCTTTTTCAAAAAAGAAAACACTTTAACACCATTGATGATGAATACAAAGTCTTTTGTCCATACAAATGAAAAAATTTCATAAGATTCTACACTAATACAGTATGTACATCAATGGATTAGTCTTTCACCTTTATCAAAGTAAGGCCTAGAAAGCAACACAAGACAGTTATGTGGAGCCTACTTCAAAAGCAATGCTAATACATGCTTCATTTAGGAGATGGTTCTCATTGAAATTGATAAAGTAGAATATATTGTTGAGTGATAATTATCATCGTGTTTCAGAGGATTGCAAACTGAGACTGCAAAATATCATTCATTCCATCTCTCCACCAAGCAAACTTTCAATTCTTAAGTTAATTGATGAATAAGGGTGATCAAATAGATAGATAAATACACTACCATAAACTGTTAATAGCTCTGTACAAACAAAACATACAAATTCTCATACGATTACGGCATTCCAATGACACGTGTGTAATTATCTGAAATGTGGCCACAGGAGATCACCTTGCGGTGTTTAGCTTTCAACTTTCCATCAGGTCCAAAGACACAACAGGTATTATACAACTTCTCCCCGCTTCTTTCAGGTATTGAGCCTCCAACTATTGTGATATTTAGGAGACGGGCTACTTCTGACAACATGGCCGTCGATGGAGAAGCATCAAAACCAGCATCAATCTCCTCAGCATAAACTGGAAAGCTGTCATTTGAATATGGACTGTTCCATATTTCCTAAAAGCAAATAATTATTGTCACATTTATTTCTCAAAGGGAAATGACATGTTGCCTTCTAATATGAATGGGATCACATCTTCCAAACAAAGACATTGGGAGAAGTTTTTCTGACCATGAACATTTTATAAGTACAGAAGTTGGATAATTTGCACAATACAAAATAAGATGTTCTTTTGGATGAGATAGAAAAAGTACAGCCATCAGAAATGGAGAAAAACGTTATCATTTTGATCAAGTCTGGTTATCTTTTTATCCACTCAAATTGGGCTGCGAATGTGACAGTGCAACATGCAGTGAAAATCAAAATGTGTTCTGAATTTTCTCATAGACCGTCGTCTCAAAATTTCAAGTATTGACTATCCCACTTCCCACATATGCTGACACAAGAAAGCACATGATCCTGTTGGTTCTGGTTGGGGATTTGGATTATATTTCAGCCATTTTTAGATACATATAAATCTTCAACTTTAACACAATAAAGAGAGATCTGTAAGAGAAAATAGCCACAGAAAATATAAAATATGGAAAAGTAACTTTTTATTGTTTTGACAAAGAATTAACTTGTTTATTTCATTTCTTTACAGAACTTCGCTCTGCTTGTGGTGGTTTGGAATTGGGAACTTGAAATTGGAAAAATAAAAATTTCCTTCAAAATTTGAATTCCAATCACTCATTTCAATGCCTTGAGACGAGATACAAGTTTCAGTTAAGTTTTGACATTTTTCTTGTGGATTAGTTTTCCGTACTTCATAAACAAAGGTTCATAGGAGGTGGAAATCTATGATCCACTTATAATCAATTCTGAATCAATCAGAAATTAAAATAGTTAGACAATCAACTTCAGACTAATTAAACACACTCGCCAACACATCAATCAATGGATGTAAATATGAACTCACGGGCAAAACAACAAGCTTGGCTCCCTTTTCAGCAGCCTCCTCTAATGCTGCTCGTGCGTGCAAGATGTTCTTCTCCTTGTCCGCAGTCACTTTCAATTGACATAATCCAATCTTAAACTACCCAAAGACAGATGAAGATCCCAAATTAGCTCAACTTTCAACTAAAATTTACACGTACGAGAAAAAACCCCAAACTCTAAAAGTTCCCTTAAGAGCACAATTGCGGAAAAATCAAATCCAAAAATTGAGGGAGGTGAATTACCTTGGTGATAGGAGGATTGGGTGATTGGAGGGCAGGGGGGACTCGAGCTTGTTCAGGGTGAAAAGAGGAAGTCATTGTTGAAAATGAAGCCGAGGCAGTGAGTGTTGTGTCGTACCTGCAGGTTGACTTCTGGAGCACTTTGCGAAGACTATTGCTTTGAATAGTTGTACGTCTAGGGATAGAGTTAAATCGACGGCGAAGGAGGATCGAGGGTGCCGGGCGTAGGATGGACCGAGTAACAGAGGATTGGAGAGCGGTTCCTGAGGGGTGCAGCGAGGATGCTGTTGAAGAGAAGGCCAGTCGAATTCTCATTTTCTGAAAAATTACAGTTGAGTTCCTCAAGTTATACAAAAAGTCGTAACTAGTTTTCAATTTTTTTTTGCATTTCCCATTTTGCCCATGTTTGTTCCATTTTTTCAAAACTTTTTTTTTTTTTTTAAACTCATCCAACCACATATTTACACAATAAAATATTTTACACGTAAATTCAAAATTTTTTCTTACTTTTATTGCTTGTTTGGTAATCATTATTCCACGTGAAAAGAATAATAATTTTTTGGAGAACGTGTGGTTAAAAAAGAAGGAAAAATGAGTCAAACAAAGGCTTTAGTTCTTGTAGCACTTGAGTACTCTTAAGTTTTAGGAAAATTACGAGAAACGTCTCCAATCTTTAGATTCATTTGCACTTTCATCCCCAATCGTTTTTCTATACAATGGGATCCTCGACCTTTTGAAAATAGGCAACATTCATCCCCATTGATGAATTTCGTCAATGCATCGTAAGTGACTTGTACATTTATTCAGATATTAAGAGGGGGCAAAATTATCTTCCATAATTCATAATTATAATGTATTAAAGAAAGTAGAAATTCAAAAAATTAATTAATTAATTAAGAAAAAGAAGGTCTTCTTCTTCCTCCTATTTAGGGATAGGCATTTTATCCTCCAAACCGTAAACGACCGACCTGGCCCGTTTTGGTATTTGTCTTTTTAAATAAAAGTAAAAAGGATTTTCAAGGGCATTTTACCCTTGGAACTCATCAAATGGACCCAAACCGACGCAACTAATGTTTGGACAATTTCATGTTGAAATTTCACCCAAACCGACTCCGAAAAATCAATTTGGTGGTAGGTTTGGGGCCATATCCGACTTGTGACCAGCTCTACCCCCACCACCCTCAAACACACTGCACCGTCACCATTATACCACCACAAGATCAAGGGATAATTCTTTTCCCTTCGTTGTCGACAAATCAAATGGAGATAAAATCTCTTATGAATCTACACGGATCGAGAATTTCTCCCCCCTTGGTTCCGCCAAGATTGGAAATCATGGGAGAGAAATCCCCTTGATCTGATACAATTCATAGCAAATTTTGTTGGATTTCTCTCCCTCATCAGTTTATCAACCACCAAGGTCGAAAATCATGAGGGATTTCTCACCCATTGTTACCATTGAACCAAGGGAATCTCTTCCCCATTGGTTTTCTGTGAACAAGTTCACTGAAATGATGTATCATATTAATTTATTGATAGATAACAAATTTAATTCAAATGTTAGGATTCACAAAATATTTATCAATTAATGAATTAATATGACACGTCATCGGTATTTAGTATGAGATGAGCACCGATGCTCATTATTTATATATCTTTTAAGTACCGGTGCTTAACTTATGCTAATCACCAGTGACATGACACTCTATAATAGGTTATTCAATTTTTTATTTTCATTTACTTTATTCATTTTAATTAAAAATAAGGAAATGACAACTTTGCCAATTTTAAAAACTTAATGTACAAGTCAATGGTCATGAAAATCCCGCAAGCATACAAGATCCCTGACATGTATAGATTTAGTAAGTTGAGAGTATCGATCAATGGGGATTAAATTTCAATGCGAGTTTGTTAGCTTTGTGTGGAATTCGAACTATGTAACACAAGAGATATTTTGATTTGTAATTATTTTAAATTATGCTAATAAATATGAAAAGGTGTTGTTTGTATCAAATTATGGATGATTGTGTTGAATTATTAGTCCGCTTTTAATATTTATTTTAATTATTGATTTGTAATTTAGTCTTATTCATGCGTTCTAATCAATCAATAAAGTTATTATATTTAACTTTCTTTTTCAAGATAAATAAATTTTATTCTAATCACGGCCTAATTTTATTCGTAATACGAATTCGAATGATTATAACACATTAAATTTTATATTATCTATATGATTGCACGAGCAATATTATTATTCATAACATCTATTGTTCGCGTGTTAACATTGTCGTGTTCTAAATTTATAGCGAGTCTCCTAACACTAAAACAAGAGATTAATTATCTAATTGTGATCAAACAATTAAATAATGCAATGAAAATGCAAAATTAATAAAGAAATACTAAAGTACTAATCTAGAATTAAAACGAACAAGCAATAGAGTTTATTTTCATCAAATACAAAAGTGGATCTAGCCTAGCGTGATTTTGTATAAATTACAAGAACAATGATATAAAAATATCACTTGGATCATAAAATAATGCAGAAGATATTAATCTTCAAGTTCAACATTGAATTCTTCAGTTTTTTCATTCAATTGTCCTTCAATTCTTGCTAAGGTTTTATCCTCTCTCTCAAAAATAACAATCAACCACTTCTTCTTGATAAATTTGATGATTAGAATATGTAATTAGAGGTTAGAGAGAGATCTCTTAATGTGTAGTCCTTATATAGGAGTAGAAAATTAGGTAAAAATCTTGTTGGTTCCAAAAGAGTTTGAATCAAAAAAAGGAAAATTGACCCCTTCGATTTGAAGTCGAGGCAATATATAAACATTTTTTTACATAAAGATCAATTAGTAAATAAAAATTCTTATAAGATTTTCTATATTCTTTTTATCGCTTCCTCAAATTTTTATAGAAAAAGATTAGTTTTAGATTAAAAATTTATAGAATAATAAACATTACTTGGGCTCTATTTTATTCCAAAACGCATATTTCTCTTTCTTTTTTTTAATCATACATTTTTCAATAAAATATTATCACACGTAAATCCAAAATTTTTCATTCTTTTTTAACTACATGTTTTTTTTTAAAGAAATCACTATTTCAAAATATACTTTTCCCTAAAAACTAATATTAATGATGCCCAAACAGGGGCATAGAGTAATTTGTAATTAATTTTTATACACTAGTTGCTTGTTTAATTTAGTAATTATCTACAAGGTTGGATATATTGATAATATTGAATATTAGTAATTATTATTACATTGGACTATGTTACAAGTATATAATCATTTACATAATACATTACATAATTAACATGTGGCTCGCATCCATCGGTAGTCTACAATTTTTGATTTTTCCACACTTCACATTTACGGTCGGATTTCTCCCACATTGGCCCATGTAATCCATTATGTACAATAATTATGTACATATAGATTTATCCTATTACATTTTAGTGTATAAAAAATAACTTAATAAAATAATGATGTGTAATAAATTATCCGCACATATAACTTTCTATACAATATTTTTTTTATAAAAAACATAAGTCTATAAAAGTTATTCTATAAAGTCTTTAAAATGTAAGCATAAAAGCCTAAGAAATTATAACATCTTCAAATGGAAGTATAAAAGTCTACGAAAGATTTTCATTGATTCTATAGAAGTATGTAAAATTTTATTAAGTCCCTGTTTGATAGTCATTATTTTTCATTTTTGGCATTTTACCCTTATTTTCACATTTTATTGTACAAAATGTCATTTTCATCAATTTTTTCAATTAAAAGCTGTAAAATGACGAATATAATTTCTATTTAAATAAAACAAAAAGAAAAAAAGAGAATTAATTGCAACTATAGTCCCAATTTTTTAAAAACGAAAACCATTATTTCTATCAATTTCATCAACTTTCTCAATAAAAGCTGTAAAATGACGAATATACCCCCTATTCAAATAGAAAAGCTAAAGAATTAATTGCAACCATAGTCCCAATTTTTTAAAAAAAGTGCAAACGAGTTTCAAATAAATTACCAAAATGGTAATTAACATAATG